AAAATGAAAAACTCCTAGCACTTAAGGAGTTTGAGCCTACCCTTGGCAACATAATGCTTCCTGCCGCGGCCTCCCAAAGTGCTGGGATTCCAGGTATGAGCCACAGTGACTGGCCTTATTAGTATTTCTTGCTTTATGCAATATATCTTTGTTCCTAAATGGATGGATGGACTTTGAACGTATGTTCTAATAATAGTAACTAAAAGTAAATGAGCACTGAGCACTTCAATTAGCATTTGCTCTCTCACTTGGTCCTCATAACCATACCATTTTACAGGTAAAGCTTACAAGGTAAAATAACTTAGATCACATGACAATTGAGTGGCAGAGCTCAAATCTTAAGTCTGTCTCACTTGAAAGCTCACATTCCTAACAGCTACACTTAATTGAATGTTCTGGTTAATCGTTTTGAAGAGTGCCTAGTAATTATCTTTATGTTTCTTTTTTGAAAAACCAGGAATCCATGTATAAACTTCACTCAGAAAGAGCAGGAATAGGCTGGCACGGTGGCTCATGCCTGTAATCCCAGCACTTTGGGAGGCCGGGACACGAGAATTGCTTGAGTAGGAGTTCGAGACCAGCCTGGGTAACATGACAAAACCCTGTCACTACAAAAAATGCAAAAATTATCCAGGTATAGTGGTACGCCCCTGTAGTCCCAGTTACTCAGGAGGCTGAGGTGGGAGGATCACTGAAGCCCAGGAGGTTGAGATGCAGGGAGGTGCACACTCCAGCCACTACATTGTAGCCTAGGCGACAGAGTAAGACTCTGTCTCTAGAAAAAGAAAAGGAGAGAGCATAGGAATAAAAATAGCCACTCGAGGCCAGGCGCAATGGCTCACACCTGTAATCCCAGCAATTTGGGAGGCCAAAGCAGGTGGATTACTTAAGGTCCAAAGTTTGAGACCAACCTGGCCAACATGGTGAAACCCCCGTCTCTACAAAAATAAAAAAAAATTAGCTGGGTGTAGTGGCGCACACCTATAATCCCAGCTACTGGGGTTGGGGGAGGGAGGGGCTAAGACAGGAGAATCGCTTGAACCTGGGAGGGAGGTGGATGTTACAGTGAACTGAGATCATGCAGTTGTACTCTAGCCCGGGGGACAGAGTGAAACTTCACCTCAAAAAAAAAAAAAAAAGAATAGTTACTCCAACTCTAAAAAACACATTAAAATGTGGCCACAAATGGCCAGAGATTAATTCATTAATATGTTTCATAATAAAGATTATGAATATAAATATAAAAGCCTTATAGCTCAGTAACCTAAATAAAGTTCTGTTTTCACCCTAATATCCCAGTTGTCTCGACAGAAATTGGACTTCTATCAGTTATAGCTTATGTTCATGTGATCTTTACCAATGATCTAAACCACCCATCCCAATCTTAAAAGCTCTTCCTAAAAACTATTAAAATGGGATGATTTTTGGCCAAAGAATTGTTAGGTCCAGGCTTATGGGTGCCAAAGAATGTTTCAGCTTGAGTCCATTTAACACTTTCAAAGATCTGTTGTTAAACAAGCTAATATCTGATTTTTAAAAAAATGCAAACTCTCTTCACAGGCTTATTAGCATAGAACAATGTACAATGATTGCTAAGTTCAATTTTACCTGTCTCATTTCAGACCAGTCTTTATAATAATCTGCTTCCATAATAAGTACAAGGCCATGACCAAAAGCAGATGTTAGACTATGGAATTACAGTGAACTTGCAATGTTATTTTTTTAAATTTTTGGTGCCATGACTTGGAAAAGAACTGAATTTGCCGCAGACACAACACAGAGTACTAACCACTATGTGACCATAGCTGTGATGTTCTTAAGCCACAGCACCTTCCATGGTAACTTTTATTTTGTTTTCTGTATTTGGCACTGTCATAAGATCCTTATGATTATTTTTTCCAGAATATTTACAGTGAAAAGTTAATTGTTTCAACACAGACATAACACTTAGATTTTTTCATTTTAACCCTTTGTTGCTAAAAAAACTCACAACAGTTAAACCTACAGAATGATATATTACATAATCTCATACTCTAAATATATTTCTATCTTTGCTATGTCTATAACATTTTTGCCTGTAAATCTTCTTGCTTGGAGAATTTTGCAGTGGCCTTTGGCCAAATACAACAAAGTTCTATCCTCAGTTTTAAAAAGAGTTATACCTGTTTTATAATCAAGGCATCAGTAGAAAGGAATTTAAGACTCCTAAATTCTATGAAAGCTGTAATATTTCACCATTTATCATTGTATAGACAATTTAAAGAATACTTTAAAATAAAGTGATACCAATAAAGGCAAGGTAGATTCTATTTAGTCACAGAAACCATTTAGTGTGGCTTCGCATCAGATCTAAGATATGCAGATGTAATAAGCCCAATGTAGAAGACTTAGAAACAAATTATTTAAATTTTATTAGCAGTCAAATCTACTTTTCATATTTTTTAAATGGCCATTGATTAACCTTCCTTTATTCTCCTCTAAAGCAATCACAGACTATGGTAGGAAGCCATTTACTGGATTTGCTTGGAATTAATGAACTGAGGCTTTCTTGCTGAACTGTGTAGTTCCGCTCTCGGCTTCCCACAGACAGTTCATGAGCAATGTAATTTGCTTTCATTGTAGAGGGTATTCCTTTAGTGTTCTTATTCATGAAATGAAAGCAATAAAAGGGAAAGACTTTCATAAAGGTTTTTTTTTTTTTTTTTTTTTTGACATGATTCCTTCTAAAACAGAAAGCCACTTTAAATAAAATCTAATTAGGACCAAATATAGTATAGATGGCCTCCCTAACAATTAGATTTGAAATATACAAGACACTGAATAATGCGTTACATTATTTTCTATTGGCTTTCCCTGGTTCTATGCCAAACATGTCTTGGCTGCAACAGAGAGTGAGTGAGGAGGCTTCTGGGGAGAAAAAGAACATAATTATGGGGCTCTGGAAGAGTACAGCTGCAATCTGGCACTTTACAGAAATTCTGGAATAGGAATGTAGCTCTTTTAAAATTCTAACTCTATAGGTTAGGTCAACTTACAGCCTATGGGAACTTTACAACATATCCCTAAAGAAACTCAAGCCTTGCCAGAGAAGTGACAGTAAGCCATATGGTTTTGTTTAGAGATATACGGTTAAAGAATAGATTTTTATGTTCACACAAAAATCTATTTTGAAGCTACCAAGAAAATAAAAAGATAAGCTTTTTTTACTGGAAGCAAAACAGAAAGGAAAAACAAATCACAGCTATTTAGAACAAAGACCAAAATCTTTTCAATCCATTAAGCATGAATTAAGAACCAATATTAAAAGGAAGAAAATTAGTTGCCATATTAGTTCAAAAAGTCCAACAGGTGTTTATTGTTAAGCAAAAGCTATAAAAATTATGCAGTAAAATCCTGATACATTGCAGAATCAAAACAAATAACAACAAAAAACCCCCCCAAAACTCCATAAATAAAATACTTCAGTTTAAAGAATGCTATGGCAGTTGCTTTTCTCACAGGATTGAAGCAATTTTAACCCCAGCTGCCCCCTATTTTATCTAACAATAGATTGTTTAAAAATGTGTCACTTCTGGTGATGCTATCATTTCACCTAAACTGCAGAGAGTTAAGCCTCAGAATCAGCTACAGACCATATGCAGACTAAATACAACATTTGTGCCTGATTCTGAATGGTATCTTCTATCAAAATGCTCCTTTAATTTTAGCTCTTGCTTCTCAAGCTTCTCTTTCAACTTATCAGAAGCTGCCTATAGTAACCAAAATTGGATTCATGCAGAAAAAAAATATATTTTAGGAAAACGTGCAAAAAGCATCCGTTAACATTAAAACCAGAAGGCAGTGTATGTTGCAGAGCACACATAAGAAAAGGCTTTTAAATTTAGTAATTCACAACATCCAGTTTGAAGTATTACAGTAATATTTTAAAGTAACACACCACAATGGTACAATCATTTCATTTGTTCAACAAATGTTTACTGAACATCTATATGCCTGCCACTGTGCTGGGTGCTGAGGATACCGTGATTAGTAAATAGACACAAGTATTACAGGTTTGTACAGTTTCTAAGGCTGAAAAGTAAAAAGTTTTTATTGGTAAAACTATAAAAAAGAAAACAAGGTCATCCTTTGATTTCTCCATTAGAGGCAGCTGTCACCACCACTCCTACCCTTATTATGAAGGGATTGAGACAGATGATAAATGGGGAAAAGAAGTGAGAATAACAATAGGTAATTAGCAGTGAGAATTAGGAATGGGCTAAAACTACGACCAAAAGTAAAAATTCTTAATCTTGGGTCCAGGGAATCCATGGATATTTTCATAGGATCCTTGATCTTCCAGATATTATATTTTGAATTCTGATATATGGATGTATATACATTTATTAGGAAGTTGGTCTTATCAAGTCTCAACCGGGTCAGCATTTGAAAACAGCTAAGGGCCACTAAACTAAAAGAATGAAGTTCAACCAGATGCGGTGACTCATGCCTGTAATACCAGCACTTTGGGAGGCCAAGGTTGGTGGATCACAAGGTCAAGAGATCGAGAACATCCTGGCCAACATGGTGAAACCCCGTCTCTACTAGAAATACAAAAATTAGCTGGGCGTGGTGGTGCACGCCTGTAGTTCCAGCTACTCGGGAGGCTGAGGCAGGGGAATCGCCTGAACCAGGGAGGCGGAGGATACAGTGAGCTGAGATCTCACCACTGCATTCCAGCCTGACAACAGCAAGATCTTGTCTCCGGAAAAAAAAAAGAATGAAGTTCAAGGTCTAGACATCAGCTCAAGAAACTAAAGGAATTCTTTCGAAAACAGAAAGGTTTCACCAGTGTCCCATATATCACCCCATATAGGTGGCTACCTATAGCAAGTATCAGTATGTCCTCCATTCAACTTCAGTGGACACTACAAAAATACCCCAGTTAAATAAATTACAACCAATGAATGACTTTCAAAATATATGATGATCTCTCTCTCTTTTTTTTTCTTTTAACATACCTTTAAGGCTTCTATAACAAGGTCCCTTGCTTCAAGCTCTCCTTCAAGAATACTAAATAGCGTAAGGAGTTCAGGCTTGCTGAGTTTTTCCAGATTCATCTTGAAAGCCTAAAACAAAGGTAATAATCAATCAGACAATCTCCAAAAACATAGTTAATTTGATATAATTAAAGAAAAAATAAAGTGATTAAAGTGAGAGATAAGAAAAGAGTAATTATTGTATTAAATGCTTTAATAAAAGAGTTTCAATTAAATAGAAATATAAGTTTTCTGATGTTAATCACAAACCAAGTATCAACAGAAAATAAAATTCACTTTAATTATTGATTTCACTACCACTCACAAAGAACAATTTTTCATTATGTTTCCTCCAGACATATTTACAAACAAACATCCCAGAAAATCTCAGAAAGAATTAGCTACTAATTTTTCAGGTAAAATTGTGTTACAATGAATACTATTTCTTTGAAAAATTGTTAGACCATGAAAAGATTTCCCAGTTTTAGATAACCAATTTCCAAAACTGTATATAAAATATTCTGATATCCCTCTTCAATTGGTCAAGATAAAATTGGGCAAAGATGATATTTGGTGGGAGTATGGGAGAAACTTTTCTTTTAAATTGTCCAATTCCACAGACAATGGCTATCACCATAATTATATTTTGTATAATAAAATAGACTTATACAACTATATGTAAATCTACTTTAAATGAATTGTTAAGGAATATTGTTTACACTTTTTCTTTTTTAAGACACAGTCTTGCTCTGTCACCCAGGCTGGAGTGTAGTGGTGCAAACATAGCTCACTGCAGCCTCAACCTCCTGGGCTCAAGTGATTCTCCTGCCTCAGCCTCCCAAGTAGCTAGGATCACTGATACATGCCACCATGTCTGGTTACTTTTTCTTGTTTGTAGAAATAGGGTCTCCCTTTGTTACCCAAGCTGGACACAAACTCCTGGGCTCAAGCAATCCTCCCTCCTTAGCCTCCCTAAGTTTACAGGCACGAGCCACTGTGCCAGGCCTGTTTAAAAATCTTAACTGGCTAGGCTACTACAAACTGAATTTATCTGACTTCATAAGTTCACATTTCTCTGAGAATCTGCATGTTCCAAAGTATATTAAATGTCAAACTGCATGGCACAAACTCAATCCCTTCTACAGGGCTAATTCTCACAAAACACATAAAGATAGAAGTTAGACTACTGCACAATCTTGGAAGGGCCTTCTGATCAGTGTGTATGGTAAGATATATTTTATAATTTCCAAAGTATAACGTACTATTTCTCTCTCCACTTCTTACTTCCAAATTGCCACTCTTATAGTATTCTTTAAAGTGAATCATAATATGTCTAGTTCACATACCCTCTAGTAATTTATCATTCTTATTAAATTGTAGGGGGCACATAAAAGAAGAACTGATTCCTTCCAGAGCTACTGCTTATAAGTGAACATGTATAAAATGTATACTTCTTTTTGTTGTTAGATTGTGTTCCAGGACATGCTGTGCAAGTTTTTTTAAAGTACAGTAAAACATCTTCAATGCAACCTCAGCTCTGACAGCTAATATTTTCTTTTTTTGTTTTTTTTTCTTTTTTTTGAGACGGAATCTCACTCAGTTGCCCAGGCTGGGGTGCAGTAGCATGATCTCAGCTCGCTGAAAACAATGTCTCCTGGGTTCGAGCGATTCTCCTGTCTCAACCTTCTGAGTAGCTGAGATTACAGGC